TCATAAGAAAAAGTAAACAAAGCAATTGCTAGCTAGTATTATTTTCCTGCACAGTGAACCAAGTCTAGCTGAGAGAAAAGCTCTGGCAACAGCTGTTGCCAAACAAGAATCAGCACAGAGACTTCTAGGGCAATGTTACTGTACACTTGTGCTTGGGCTTGGACTGGAAGATAAACATCACATGGGCTGTGGCAGGTGATTCTTTTGAGAGTAAAAGATAAAAAGTACAATGTAGCATGAAACTTTATTTGCAGAATGTCTTCTTTTGGATTTGGTGATATTTTTGGGGTTTGGCAGGACCAAATTTTCAGCTTAAGATCACTTAAAACCTTTGCTGGGAAGTCAAATTTTTGTGATTTTCTGAACATAAAGAGAGGAAAGATACTTGGTATTTTCTAATTTTGAGAGGTGAAATATAGATGAATTCTTTGAGTGAGTCTGAATTCGTTGAGAAAAATTGACACTTGATTCACATGCGGAATTTTCCATTTGATCAGTAGAAATAAATTGTTTTTTTCCATTCTATCTTGAAAATTTTTTTTTTCTGTGAGAGAAATATTTTATGGGATCAAGAATACCTCATAATTAAAACATGCTTTTAATGAACCGTTATGAAGTTTTCATGGGACACAATCATTTTAATACATTGTATATTTGAATCAGGAGAGCTTAAACCCTAGTGTCAGTTTACGAGTTCTCCTTACTTCCCTCTATACCTTACTTATTATATAGTTCTTATACAAAGACAATTCTCTGAATGATCAAGAGCTTCATGATCTTGTGATCACGATTTCCTGTATTCTCATGACCTTGCTGTTTGATCCAGGGGTGATACTGTAGGGAGAAATTAGATGTTTATCACTCTCAGGGGTGATCAACATGTAACTTCTCACAATGATATTCTTACATTATGCAGCAAATGGGTAATGAGAACATCCAAGTTGTTATTTGATCTAACACCAACTTCCCATAACCAAATTACAAGGGAATGTGTAGCAACTAGAGGGAAGAATTCAGAATCAGATCTCGGGAGTGAAAGGGTTGAGGGAGCTCTTTAAATGATTATTTACAGTCTTCCTTTCTACCTCTTCTTAGTTCTTGTTAACTGAACGGGAGGTCTGTATGGGAGAATCTTGACCGAGGTCGCGAGTACAAAGCAAACACAGTGAGGTCTGTACCAGCGACCGAGGTCAAGATTCTCCCATACAGACCGATGTAGCTCAGTTAATAAAATGTTTATTATATAGCTGTGTAGGATATGCCAATTTTTTATATTCTTTGTACCTTTTTTTTCTAGACCAGTCTAGATGCCGGTCTAGATGGGAAAAATCTAGACTGCATTCAATATTGATTTCAGCCAATCAAATTCATAAATTCGGTAGTTCCCAGTCCTTGTGAGACACACCCATATAATAATTATTATTGTTAAAAGCTGGATCATTGGATAATGCAATTCAAGACTTTTTATTGGCTTAGCCATTATGGTATATGAGCCAATATACCATAATCTACAAATATGGTAAGCTTACGTGTCAGCTTAAAATTAAAAGGGAGCCTAAAAAATTTAATAAAATTTAATAAATTAATTTAACGTTTTTAATAAAACAATTATTCCACTACGCTACGCGCCTCGTTGGCTATCTATCATCTCATATCCAATGCGCGCTCATGGAATAATTGTTAATTATTAGTGGAGGTGGAAAGAAGGACTGGAAATTTTAACTTCCTTTAGGTGATATATAATGGAAAACCAGTTCATGCATTAACTACCCTGCTTTATTAGAGTCAACAAAAGATACATGACTTGTATATCAGTCTGGGCCCAGTTGTTCAAAAGCAGGATAATGTTACATGAAAGATAAATCACCGTTAAACAGAGAAATTGCCATCCAATGGCTGAATTACCATACAGCAGATTAACTCGCTACCCGGTGAATAAATTACTGTACAGCAGATTAACTTGCTACCCAGAGGATAAATTGCTATCCAAAGGATGAACTGCTGTACAGCTTAATTTTAGACAATGCAGCCTTTGAACAGCCAGGGCCTGGTCTGGCAAAAATTTCCTTAGCTATAGTAGCTGTCTTCAATTGGCTGTTTGCTTAATTTTAGACAACGCAGCTCAGACACAAGCAGAGACAGGGAACTGTATGAGGTAAGTTTAATGTTAAATGCACTCTTTGAAAAAAGGGATTGTATTTAAATTTCGTTCCTAGACTCAGTTGTTAATAGGCTGGATATATAGCACTATTCACCCGTGATGAACTACAATCCAGCAGATGAGTGTGTACAAAACTGCTAAGGTATCCGTTAGATAGCAATTTGTGTAGTAGGTAACATTATCCAGCCTTTGAACAAGGAGGGCTTTGTAATTAAAGATTGACTAGACTATTAATGCACTTGTCCACATTTTTTATTTCATATTTTTCTTACTCCAAAGGCTTTTTATCCATTTTCTGCATTTGTGACCTACATTGCATTTAGACGACAACATTTGGATTTAATACAAAAAGAACTGGGAAGGTATATGTGTTTCATTTTAACACAAGAAATACGGAAAAAAAAACATCATCAGTTTCTAAGTGAGCATTATTATCTCTTGCATTACCATAATCATTATCTTGATCACTACCACTCACATCATCGTCATCATCATCATTACTGTCTTTCGCTGCCGATATCATTGTCATCGCCATTATTTTATTTTATTACACGACTCGGGCATTCAGAGGGCCAATTACTAAAATCAACCAATCAAAATGCTCTATTGTTGGTCCAATATTCTCTAAGTATTGGACCGGGCACTGTCCCGAATGGTCCCGAATGATACTGCACTTGCGTCCCTTTGAACTTCAGTCGTATAATANAACACAAATGTTTGCTAGTGTGAACAAAAGAAGACCACTGAGAAGTCGTCCTAATGCTTGGTTTATGCCGCAGGCTAGAAGCACGAAAAATCTAGTTTCTGGGACATAATGATGACGAATCTTTCCTATTGTTTACATTAGAGCCTCATCGAACATATCGTTGAATACTCGCCTTGAAAGGTGGCAGAACAACTTTCTAACTACTTCCGCTGAAAAATATGTTGGCTGCAATGCATTGAGGAGGGGGGGCAATGGGGCCTCTGGGAAACCGCAAAACCGGAGAAAAAAACCTCCAAAACCGAAAAACCGACGAAAAAAGGCAGCAAAACCGAAAACCGCATGCAAACCTGACAAAACCGCTACATTTTCACCTTTAAAGGGGTCAAAAAGGAAAAACCGAAAACCGCATCAGAGTTTTCGTGAAAACCGAAAACCGAATGCAAAAACACGTAAAATCCGCAAACCGCTCTGAACATCAAAACCGAAAAACCGAACCCTTTTTGGCCCAAAAACCGAAAAAACCGATCCAAAAAAAAACAGTCAAAACCGCAAAACCGAAAATCCCAAGCCCCCCTCTTCAAGATTGAAATTTAAAACAAAAACGGCCGTTATGTCTGCAAAAGATGATGTGACAAGGGTTGTTCTTACGAAGGAAAATAATTTCTTTCTCACAGTCAACGATCGCCTGTGCTGGTGTCTCTGTTACCGACCTCACAGGAAGCAAGTCCATGGTTTCTTGATCGCACCAAAGCTCTTCCCTTGTCGGAAAAGTAAGATTGTGTTCTTGAAATATTTACTACTATAGAGGTTTTGCACAGCAGCCATGTTGCATGGCAGGAACAGTAGATTATTTTTCCCATGGGAAAAAAAGTTTTCTTCTTATGCAAAATATTTTCATTGTTCCTGCCATGCAACATGGCTGCCATGCAACATGGCTGCCATACAACATGGCTGCCATGCAGAATAAGTCCTGAAGGCTACTAAGTTGAAATGTGATAGCGGGTGTTATTTGTGTTAAAATGGCGAGAACTGATTATCAAGAAGCTACAACTTGGCTTCCACCCACGCACGCACGCACGCACGAGGGAACTCCCTGCTTTCTCACGCTGTTCACGTAAACGCATGCGCGCTGTGAAATCACGGTTTATGTGTCATTTTCTATTACGTTGTTAGAATCTTTTTTAATAGTATCCATTCTTTTTCCTCCTTTGTTTAGTGTCATCTCTTGTTCGTATTTCTGTCTCACAGAACAAATATTTTTGGTCTCCTTCGGTAAAGTTTAAAATGGTTTTGAACTGCATCTGAAACTGTATCAAGTGCCACGACGATGCTGCTTCTCACTCACTAGTAATGTACAAAATTTTCATGAAATTATCTTTCTTTCAGTGAGATACCACATGAGGAAGAAAAGCTGGGCCTTGTCCTCCAACCCAAGTAAGTAAATTAGTGGTAAAGGGGGTAAGTTTCTGAAGAAACGATGGTGCTGCGTCGGTGGGGGAGCACAACAATGTAATTTTGGTTTTATCAACTGAGTTGATAATGTGAAAGTGTAGTGTGATCGTCCGAGTGAGTGTATTCCCGAGAAGGACTGTTGTCGGTGGTGGTAAATGACGTTTCGACAACCTGTGCGGAAGTCATCATCAGTGATGACTTCCACACAGTTTGTCGAAACGTCAGTCACCACCACCGACAACAGTCCTTCTCAGGACTACACTCACCCGGACGATCACACTACACTTTTACATGTTACCAGGGCTGTAGCCAGATTTCAGGACAAGACGAGGCAAGTTTCGAGCGCCGAAGGCGCGAGCCGCTAGAGGGGTCTGGGGGCATGCCCCCCCAGAAAACTTTGAAATCTAGAGGTTTAGAAATGCTCTTTTAAGGATTTTCCGTGGCATTTTTCTTCAGAAAAGTCAATCTTTAAGAAAAAAATTAAAAAAGGTCAAAATTAAGACAAGGCAATTGCCTCGTCTTGCCTCATGCTAGCTACGGCCCTGGTTACCCCCGGATTCAAACCATGAGTTCATAATGTAAATAAGCCACCGCAAAAAGTTTCAAAGCTGACGTTTCGAGCGTTAGCCCTTCGACAGTGCGATTCGCCATTCGCCACTCGCTCTGACGAAAGACTAAGGCTTGAAACGTCAGCCTTGGAACTCTCTACGGTGCCCAATTTACGTCATTAACTCATTTGATGATTGCTAAATTAATTGTTATTGATGATGTACATGTAAGTAGAAAATATCAGTTCTTTGTTTTCTCAAATGTTTGCTCTGACACTGGAGAAAAGATTAACTGAAGCTTTTCCAGATTTCCTCCTCTTCAAATTAGATGGTTTGGCTATCGCTTCCTGAGCTTGTACCATTCTATTTTGCTGCTATTTAAAATCTTCCAAACCTACCTTACAAATTCAAGCCCATAGACCACTTTCATAAATGGCTGCCGGATTAATATTCTTTTGTTTAAATTTAAATTAGCCCTTCTGGCCTCGCTTGAGATAATGTATTCTTTTGAATTTTGTATTGGAGAACGAGGCCAGAAGGGCTAATTTAAATTTAGACAAAAGAATATTAATCCGGCAGCCATTTATGAAAGTGGTCTATTGCACCCAAAAAGGTCTCCTCTATCCAAAGCAGATTTTCTTACAAAGACACCCGGATAAGACTTCTTGAGATTTTGAAATATATGGGAATAATACACTCTTTAGATGGAATGCTGACAGAAACTGACAAAGGTTTTTTCCCTGCAGAGTTGGTATCATCGGAGAACCCATGTCCGGTTTTAATCCGTTGACCTTGGCACCGTTTGGTGAGGAACATGAGGAGGAGACTGGAGACGAGGCGGCATCAAGAAGAAGGTTAAAATAGAGAGCATTTTCATAGGATGTCGTTTAACCTGTAGCAGAGTTATCTTAGCAGCCAATTAGAACAAAAGGAAATATCCGAGGGAACCACTGAGAATTCAAAGTAAAGACAGGCAAACTGCTTAAAGCGCGGGAAAAACGCGGCTGGCTAAGTCGCGACTGCTTCTAGTTTTGAATCTGATTGGTTGATTAAATGGTGCAAGCTTTCTGAACCAATCGGAGAGTGACTTAAGGCAAAACCTAACTAATCACGGATTACTTTCGATACTTAATTAGCATTGCTGTTGAATTCTGTCTGGTCTGATTTAAAATTCAAAGCCTTGGTTCTAGTGCTCCTCTAAGAGCCTACGTCAACTACAAGGGACTTATATCTCACTTGCTTTGAGGGCGAAACTCAGTTACAGCCAAACTAAGCTCCATTTCTTTTATACCCTTTCAGTTCCATACCAAGTGAAGCACCAGTCACCCCCAATCAGGGTAAGTCAACACCTATAACCACCGTTTAGGAGTGCCACCCTGCAACGTTATTTGACATTTTTAATTTTAAAAAAATCCTATGAATTGTGAATAAAACGTTTGGCCGCTTTCCCTATGTGAGAACTGGACGTTTAGACCCTTATTGGGCCGTAATTTGAAACAGTTCTTGCTGAGACGTGGCGGAAATTGTTCAGGCCAAACCCGCTGGGCACTGGTCACTTTTCATTCTCCAATGTTGACAACTCAATTTGAGCGTTGCATTTTTAGGAATACCTCCATGAGCCAAAATAGTTTAGTTTCCGAACAAGTCACAACTTACAATTTTTAAATACAATCGATATTATCGTGTCTAAATAAAGGTGTTGTTATTATTATTATTATTATTATTATTATTATATATTCCCACACTTCTGTACAAAACTCACGATGATAAGGGATACGCTTGGTTGCACCTGTCAATCAAAAATCTTAACTATATTTTGCCCGAGTCTCCAACAGAATATTGAGAATAATTTTAAAATTTTTCCGGTTCGGACAGACTTGATGAATGGAGAACGCCTAATGTATTATTTGTTCGTAATCCAATTTTCTCCATTGATTTTTTCCGTTTTGATTCCAATTAAAACAGGAACAACCAGCGTCGTAGAAGAAGGAGAATCCGCTGAACAGGAGGAATGACACAAACATCAACAAGTCAGATTGTCATACAAAAAAGTGCACACGTTTTGTCAGACACATCATTGTATATAAATTGTACAGATTACCAATTTTGCAATGTATTTGATAAAAGGTATGAATTCTCCTAAATGACTTAAGTCGCTCTTCCCATTCCGCCGGCCGAGTCAAGGAGTCCACCCTCTTCCCTCCCCTGGGGAGTAAAAGTTATGACACCTTGTTTATTGAACATGACTTGACTTTTTTTCGTCGTTGTTGTTGCCCCAAACGCAGGTGCTTCCAATTACAACAAACCAATAATTTTGCAATTCATTGCCTGCTTGATTCTCGGCATCACGTTGTGAGTTGAAGATTTTTTTTTCTTTTTGCAATTAAAATGAATCATTTCTAACCAGCAGCCTTTCAGAAAGTCTGTTTGAACAGATGTCGAGCTGTTCATTGTCTCTCTTTCTTCTACTGATAAATCTCAACAAACTTATTTGTTGTAGCGAATTTATTATTAGCGCGAGATCGGTAGTTATTTGTGGATCAAAGCGAACATAAAAGACGCAGAGAATTTACAATAACAGATTGAAACTAAAGAGAAAAAAAAAAACTTACTTGGGAATGGAATGGCTTCCTTTTGCAGCAAAACAGAAAAGTCGGCATCCAAAATGTGTACGAATTTAGCCGTTGATGTCTCGAAACAAATTTTCTTTGATCTCTATTGTAATAGTTTCCACAGGACATTACTTACACAAGTCTATCGAGAAAAGATATTTATTACAGTTTTTATATATTGTTCTTTCCGTTGGCACTTGAGCTTCCTGTTGATTCTGGGGCTGATTGAAACAAAAAATGAATGTAAGATCGAAACGAAAACTATCATGCACTTGAGTTTCCAAAGCTTATTCGCTAGGTTGGAGTCAAACAAGACAACTAGAAATTAGTTATTTTCTGCAAGAGGAAGAAGATCAACTTATTTTAATATAAGGATTATAAATGTTTGAAAATTTTTGAAAAAAGTTTTCAAGTGTAGTGCTTGTTAGTAAGTTATCCCTCCTTGAAGTTTCCTACAGAGTTCACAAGATGTGAGTTAAAGAATAAAGCATACTAGAGCTGCAGAGAAACAGGTGTTTCTTTTTGTCAAACTTGAAGACTGTTGTAACCAAGATTTTTTAGAAGCATACTACGAAGCATTTTCTTTGTTCCGACAAGAAAATACTGGCTTGTGAACAAAACATTTATTAAGGTGACCCTTCGGATATCTACGGAGGCGAATTACATAATAGCTGAAAAAAAAAATCAGCTGGGCTTGGTTCCCTTTTCCGTAACAGTTAAAAATGGAGATCGCTAGAGGGTGACACCCAGAACTAACTCGAACACAACATGACGACTTCAGATGAGGAATTTCGCTGCAAACTGCCAGTCGGATATGCAGGCGAAATCGTGGCAATGGTTTCATACACCACGTTAGCTATCATCGGATCGCTGGGGAACATCTTTGTGATTTTTGCCATCAACCGGACTCCAACTTTGAGGAACGTGTGTGGAATCTTGATAGCAAATGTGGCAGTAGCTGATCTGATAGTGACAGCAGTAGTAATGCCTTTAATAGTCTTCATCTTAGTTCAGGGGTTTTTGGATAAGTGCATATATCATACTCCACTTTTTATGGCCTTGATAATAGCACTTTTCTCTGCCAGTTCCTCGCTACTGACTCTAACCAACCTGAGTGTGGATCGCTGCTTTGCCATCTGTCGTCCGATGAAACACAAAACAATCGTAACTGTAACAAAAGTGAAGATAGTCATCGCAAAATCGTGGATCGAGTCGCTGATCCTTCCTCTTCTAGAGACATTCTATCCCGGATCAACCTTCGCAAAATTCCTTCAGACCATTGGAGTGGTCTGCTGTTATTCCACCATAGTCGTAAGCGGTATTTTAACGATCAGGAATGTGCGCGCGAATTCACGACAAATAGGATCACTACACCAGGATCAAGGGACTTCTCGCCTCGCTGCAGATTTGAACCAGAGCAACAAACAAGTCGCCAAGACGATTGCACTCGTCGTGTTCCTCTTCACCTTGTGTTGGATCCCAATCGCGTTTATCATAAGTATCGAGATCGATGCAGATAAAAATGGTGTAATCTATTTCTGGTTCGCTACAGTTGGACTCGCCAACTCAACAGTAAACCCGTGGATTTATTTTTATCGACAGCCAAACTACCGTAAAGCGCTCAAATCTTTACTCGGATGCAAACGAGACACCTCTAACGTTGTCGTGCAAGTGCAAAATCGCAGTACAACCCAGAGGAATAAGTGAGTACGTGAAAGAAAATGGAGCACCTTGTTTAAACCCTTCAACTTCTACGATCGTGTTAGCGCTTCTCCCCCCTGGCTTCGAGACATTTTGTTGTAAATAAGTTCAGAGAGTGATAGTTACCTTTAGGTAACTCCTCCTTAGAAAAGATAAGTTTCGGGACTCTCGAGCGCGTCACCTTTTTGTAAGATAACATTTTGAAAGTGTTTGTAGAAGTTATAAGTTATTCAATTTTAATAATTTAGAGCCAACAGAAACTGTGACCTGAGGAGACTAATTCCTAAATATTAATCCAACTGCTGATACGAATCAACTTTTGAAAGCTACCTAGAAACTCAGTGGTAATATTTGGATCTAGACGGATTTGTTTAAACACGGTTTCAATGACAATTCAAAAGTTTTAATATTTGATATTGCCTTAAGAAAATAAAGCAATCAGTCTTGCGGATGTATTAAACTTCTAACGAAAATGTGTTTGAGGAGGTGAAAACTTCATTGGCCGTAGAGAGATTTCTGTTAAAGATTGTAAATAATTCATTACCGTTTTTGGGTCACTATGACTCCTCCACAATAACCAAAGCCATAGAGATCCGAAAATAATTGCCTGAAAAAGCTCGCAGAAGATTGAATAAAATTATTTGAAAAGTAACGTATCAGTGTTGTAAAGACGAAACCAAGCGTGAAGGGATCATCCGGCCGCGACAGTGAGGTAAACGAGAAAGGTGTGAGATAGGAAAATGTAATGACCAAACCCCCTGACCGTGTCCTTGTGAGAGTCTTCTCTGTTACGTGCAAGACACCGGTATGAGACTAATTCAATTCAACTGCGCAGTTTCATATTGAGAACGGAAACGCCAACAACAGAAAATCTTCCACCTCTCAATATTTCGCGCAATTCGACTGAATGTTGCCTTCAAAAGTTCAAATAAGGAGAGCTTTGACTACACGTATTGAAAAATCCATATATTCTTACATCGTATGTTCTGAAACTCTAAGAGTGATTAGTAGCTAAACTTTCCTTACAATATCACACCTGAATCACACCTGTTATGGCCACGAGATTATAGAAAATGAACACCAACTAAATTCTCCTTCTCAACACCTCAAGAAATGTATTGAGAACAGTATGGAGAATATGCATACTGATGTTACGGTGTTAAGTGTTAAGGAAAATATTACTTGATTTTTAATCAGAATTTTTGTTTGTGTTTTTAAACGCGAGTAGATTAAATTGTTAGCGATAGTTAACAGACTGTTAGCATAGTAGACGATTGACTGACGTCTCTGTTTTATCTAAACGTCATTATTTCAAATCTTAAAGCTATTAGAAATAGTTTTCAAGGATAGTTTTTAACAAAGTCGTTGAAATGGAGGTGAATTTTTCTGGTAGGGTAAGGCAGTAAAATAGATTGAATTAACTTGCGATGTCTAGTTCTAAAATGTTCAGGAAGAACCCCAAAATGTTATCACATCAAAATTTCATCTTAGTTATTTGACATGTGCCAAGGAGAAAAACAAATTGGTAAAACTTCCTGTACGTGTCACTTTAGCAGATGTCTCGAACACAACATGGCAACGTCAGATGAAGAATCTCACTGCAAACTGCCACTCGGATTCCCTGGTGAAATCGTGGCAATGGTTTTGTACACTTCGCTTATCATCGTCGGATCGTCGGGAAACATGTTCGTGATTCTTGCTATCAACCGGACACCAACTCTGAGGAACGTGTGTGGAATCCTGATAGCAAACATGGCAGTAGCTGATCTGATGGTGACAGCAATAGTAATGCCTGTAATAGTCTATGTCCTAATTCAGGGATTTTTGGATGAGTGTACCTACCATACTCCACTTTTTGTTAGCTGGATAATAGCACTTTTCTCTGCTGGTTCCTCGCTAAAGACGCTAACTACCCTCAGTGTGGATCGCTGCTTTGCCATCTGTCGCCCAATAAAACACAAAACAATCGTAACTGTAACAAAAGCAAAGATAGTCATCGCAATGACCTGGGTCGGATCTTTAATCCTTCCCCTCTTAGAGACATTCTATCCTGGATCAACACCCTCCAAATTTTTTCAGACCATTGGAGTGGTCTGCTATTATTCTATCATGGTCATGAGCGGTATTTTCACAATCAGGCATGTGCGCGCAAACTCACGACAAATAGGTTCACTACACCAGGGTCAAGGAACTTCTCGTCTCGCTGCAGATTTGAACCAGAGGAACAAACAGGTCGCTAAGACGATTGGACTCGTTGTGTTCGTCTTCACTCTTTGTTGGATCCCACTTGCGTATCTTATTGGTATTGAGATCAATAAAGACAGGAATAATAGACTCTATTTCTGGTTCGCTTCACTGGGACTCGCCAACTCAGCAGTAAACCCGTGGATTTACTTCTATCGACAGCCAAACTATCGTAAAGCGCTCAAATCTTTACTCGGATGCAAACGAGGTACACCTAACGTCGTTGTGCAAGTGCAAAATCGCACTACAACACAGGGGACTAAAGTGAACACGTGAAAAAAAAAAAGGCGGCGCCTTCTTTGAACCGTTTAACTTCTAAGATCGTCCTTGTAATTCTTCCCCCTTGCTGCAATACATTTGGTTTTAAATATGTCCAGACAGTGAGAGTTGCCTAAGATAACATTTGTTTAGAAATAATGAGACTACCGTAACTTTAAGCGGGATAGCGTTTTAAAAGTGTTCCAAGAAGTTAGAAATCATGATATATTCACATAATAGGTACGATTTATAGCAGCGGCGACTCGAGAAGACTTTCCAATTTTTAATTGTCACCTAATACCTTAGTTCTAATTACTAATAAAAATCAATTTTTGAAAGGTACCTAAAAATATATTGGATATAATTGAATCTAGACTGATATTTTTGGTAAGGTTGCAGCGAAAATTTCGAAAGTTTTCGATAGCACTTCATGAAAGTGGAACGATCATGCGAATGTTTTAAAATCTTGATGAAAATGACTTTGAAAAGAAGACAGCTTCTTCGAGACGGTTTTTTAAAACGTTCTTAGTCTTTAAATGAAGTTTCCGCTACAGAATGTAACTATTTCTTTGACCTTTAGTCCGCAGACGATTGTGTTAAATGATTTGAAAAGCAACGTTTCAGTGTCGTTAAGACGCCGCGCAGAACCAACTACAACAACCATGTCAACGAGAAAAGGGTAAAAATAGGGAAAATGAAATAACCAAACCATCGGCCGGGCTCGTGTCAAAGGCTTTCCTGTTGTATGCGAAACACAAATATGAACCTATTTCAATTTGATAGGTTGATTCAAATTGAGAACGGAAGCACCTACGACAGAAAAGTTTTCACGGTTCGATATTTTGCTGAATTCGACTCAATGTTGCCTTCTCAAGTCCAAAAAAGGGAGAGTTTCCATCCCTTTGTTTGGCATTTGAACATATTTATTTATCCTTACATCATAATTTCTGAAGGAAAACATTTGTTGACTTTTTAATCAGTACTTTCGTTTGCATTTTTAAAAATGATTTCATTAAATTTTCAGCGATAGTTCGCAGAGCATTAGCATAAATTTACTTTTCTGTATTAGACATCTTGACGCTATAATTAATCTCACAAAAACATTTTCAGGGAATCGTTGAAATACAGGTATATTATTGTGTAAGAGTGAGAGCGTAAAATTAATTGCTTTAAATAACGATGTCTAGTATTCCAATGTTTACGAGAAACCCAAAATGTTATCGCATGAGGATATAATCAAGTAACAGACTGTGCCAGCTTAGTAGATAGTTGATCGATGGATAAAGACAGAATGTAGAAGGCAAGCAGGGAGTGTGTCTCCACCCGAAAATGAATACCTAAATGAATAACAACACTCGGTGTGGATCGCTGCTTTGCCATCTACCCTCTAAATTAAATTTCTTCAGACCATTAGAATGGTCTGCTGTTATTGCATCATAGTCTTCTGCGGTATTTTTACAATCAGTAATGTGCGTCAGCCAAACTATTGCAAGGCGCTCAAATCTTTGCTCGGATGCAAACGAGGCGAAACGAGGCCCATCTAGCATCTGACGTTGTCGAGGAAGTGCAAAATCGCAGCATGTGAAAGAAAAGGTGGTGACTTGTTTGTGTTGCATAATTAGCAATTCACGCCGCCATTTACGTTTTATCAAAATAGAATCGTTGCTAATTAGTGTACATTGTAGTGCGACCGTAATATATGCAAAATCCTAGCAGGTATAAAACACCTGAATTTTGGCTCTACATTTTTATAACTTGGATTAGTGTGTGCGCGAATAAAGAGCTTTTCACAGAACCGAGTAGTTAACAGTTTGAGTCCTTAAACTCCGAAGATCATCTCCGCAATTCTCCCCTCTAGCCGCGGTACATTTTGTTGTAAAGGAGTACAGAGAATTGAGAGTTACATTGTGAAGCAAACGAGCATTCTCGATGATGATCAGTTTATTAATCTCAACGATGAACGAGTCCTAACACACAAGAATACGGCAATAATACAATAAGATGGAGAAAACTAACGGGCTAATGCATAGAAACGA